CTTCTGAATAGCTGCTCTTAAATCGAGCAGTGCGTCAGCTGCCAAGTCATCAGGGTAGAGAGGGGGTGGCGAAGTGGGCATCTCCCTCCCTCTTGCTCCAGCGGCAGGGTTAAAAGGCTTCTAGCAGTTCTCACTGTGCCTCGCTCTGGTGAATGCACCTGCCCACCATCTTTTACTTTGATGGGGGGGGGGCTAAGCCCTCAGCTCAATGGCCATGTAATGGATGGGACGATAGCGCCAAACGAGGGGGTCTCCCTTCACCCATGCTGCCTTGTGCACTCTCGTCTTCCTGCCCTGTGCCCCCTACAGGTGCTGGAGGGCTTGATCCTGCTCCTTCAGGGCCTTGGGCACCAGTGCGCCCAATAGCCCCCTTCACCAAGGGCTCAGCATCATTCCAACTTCTGCACTGGCTTCTCTGGATAATGATCCCTCCAGGGCTTCCGTTGCCCAGAAACTTCAGGTGAAGGCCCTGGATTGATCTATGGCAATGATGGAGCGGAATCATACACAGCGCTAAACACCCCAGGAAGAGCTGGAAGGGCAGAAAATCCCAGCATGGGCAAGCATGGGGGAGCACCTCAGAGTGCACCGCTGCATCGAATACCACACGCTCCAGATGAAAACTCTGGGAGTTACTGTAGGTTGCCTTCAGAAGAAAGATGTTTTGGTCTTGCTAGCTTACAGGAGGCCTGTCTACGCATTTCAGTCTATCCAGCCCACAGCTTCCAAAATCAGAGTGACCACCTCTACAGTACAACTTCAGAGGTGATGCTCCTACTAGTATAACTTCTACCAGGTATCAGAAATAAGTGTTTTCTCACCAGAAATGTGTTCTGTCCAGCTGGACACCATCACTCTAACCTGGGCCCAGCCTTTGTGACTAAGGTAGATGCACCCTTCACTGGGGCCGGGAAATGTTACTCCTTTCTCCCAATTAGAGAAGGACTGACATAAATTGGAGCCATCAAGATCTATCTGAGCAGAATGGAGGAATTCAGCTTCAACTTCTCCTAGTTTTTCCCTTCAACAGCCTTATCTGGTCCACAAAGCCTGTGAGATCCACAAGATTTCCACCACGATTTCCAGGTGGGTCACGTCCTGTATGAAACAAGCCTACGAGATGCAGAACAAGCCTTCTCCATAGAAGGTCCACTAGGAGCTCTGCTGCCTCCGGCACTGACTCCTGTGGGGCTGCCCTGTGATCTCCATGCCTTTTTATTTAGCACTAGAAGGTTAACCATGGCCACAGCGTCCTTTGGCGGAAGGCACTGGAGCAGTGTTTCTCAACCTCATGCTGGCTGGGGGATTCTGGGGGTTGAAGTCCATGCATCTTAAAGTTGCTGAGGTTGAGAGACACTGCACTAGAGGACAGAGTTCCCGGCAAGGACTGGGGTGCCCCACAGAGAGGCTCCCATCCCCAGCATAGTTTGCGTGAGCCTCCTTTCAGGACGCCCAGTGTCCAGTCTAGCCAGGTCCTGGGCAAAGAAAAGGGGAAATGCTTCTCAGGATGGCCCTTCAGTATTCCCACCCAGTACAAACACGTCTCTCTCATATTCCTACCTTCTCAAGCGCTACTTCTCTGAACTCCATAACCAGGGGGAACGTCTGCCTTCCCCAGGGTCTTCTCCAGCCTCGTCTCTGGAATGGGTGGGAGGGCGATTCCCCACTTCAGAAAAGGGACTGCCATCAGGTGTCTGATGCCCTGTACAGAGCAGAGATCAGTACCCTTCCTGGCACAGGGCTGCATCTGGCCTATCCCCCATCTGGGGATTTGGTCCCTCCTCCCGTTTCTGATTCAGGCGCAGCTCCGACGCTCTGAGGACGGTGCTAAGGCGGTCTGGATTTGGGTTTCCAAGCGCATGGACCCTGCCCTCCTCCTCGGCTGAGGTTTTCCTGGTTCTCTGGGCATCGATCGACTCTTCCCCACAATTGTCATCAAACCGTCTGACAGTGTGGCCATCACGGTTTGGGACCTTCTTTCCAGGCCAGTGAAGGATGCCCCGTTTGGCCCCCTTGCTGGTGGAGTCCTTTCAGTTTGGCCTCAGCTGGCAGAGATAAATCTGTGCCAGCCTGGTGTGTCTGCAGGGAGAGTCTTGGTGGCCTGACTTGATTTGCTCCCTGTTTTTTTTTTTTTTAAACTGGAAAATAACTCTAAGGCAAGTACAATAAACCCGCAGAATTATCTGGTGTGTGAGCTAAAAAGGACTTTAAAACTAAGCCCGAACGGAATGTGGCAAGCAAATGGAACCCGCCTTCTTCAGGTTGAACAAACAGGTGTGCCAGGCAGGTGTGTCTGTCAAAAAAGTCAAGATGGCTGCCCTTGCTGCGTGATCACAGCTCTGGTCCTCCTTTATGTGTGTTGTGTCTGCATCTGTGACCCACATAAAAAAAGGGCCAGGGCGGTCACAGCTACCATTTTAATTTTTTTTTTTTTTAAACCCCTTTTGCAGACACTCCTGAATTACACAGCCTGAAGTTGTAGGGAATCTCTCAAATGGGTTTGATCAAAACCGCATCTCCAATTTCGGCATTTTTATCCTGGGACAACAGAGAGAATTGAGGCCTTTTAGCACAAATGTAAACACGGTTGTGTGCATTGGGGGGGCTGCCCTGGAGTGTTTCGTGGTTGTGCTAGAAAAAGGCACCTCTGGAAATCCTTAAATGTTCCATCGCCTTGAATTCTTGATTTCTTTTGTGTTCAGTGTAGGCAGAACCTTTCCTGAGTCCTTTAACAAATGCCTTTTAAATAATTGATACTAATGCTGGATTAGAAACAGCATTAGTGCGTCTGCGTCTCCTTCCCCTTCATTTGTGTGTACTTTGGTTTGGTGAACACAACATTTCCTGTGTTCTTTGTGGTCTAAATAGTAAACTCGGTGCTTTAGTCTAAAACACTGTTTCTCAACCTCAGCAACTTTAAGAGGTGTGGACTTCAATTCCCAGAATTCCCCAGCCAGCATGCACTCCATCATTACGATCATGTAACTGACAGAGTGCTCTGGCAAGGAGCAGAAAAAAGCAAACATTTTCTTCCTGTCCTGTTATGGAGAAATAATCAAGAATTAATTTGCAATCATGTTCTTTTTGGTTTGGGGTCCTGAGCCGCTGTGGGGCACAAGGGGTCTCGTGTATGGTCAAACCACACAGATGTGTCGCTGGAAATAGAACGTCTGTGTTGCAATTTCCCGTCTTCCTATGCTTTGTCCCACATTTCTAAGAACTAAGACAATAGGAAGAATGAGTTTTGATACAAAGCCTTTCCAAAAATGGATTGGGGGCTAGAATGAGGAGACCCCAAAATAGCCTGCAGGCTTGCAGAGCTAAGATAAGGAACTTCTGCATTTATAACTGCTGGCGACATCAGACCGCCGAGTGCAAAGTAGAAACTGGATCCTGAGCAGGTCTCATAAATTATTACTGAAATAATAGAGCCTGGGCTTCTTCTATGGCGAGGGAAATTGCAGGAAACAGTCTTTTGAGAGATAACTTCCTTGATGACTAATAGACAAGAGAGGAAATCAAATCAGACATTTAGATGAGACTTGAGTGCATTTTAATCCACGGCTTCTTGAGATAGAAAAGGCAGAGATTTTAGCAGTAAATGCTAGCAAGGGATATCCTGCAGCGCCTCTTTGCAGGCGTGACGTTTTTCAGGCTCTCGTTCAGCCTCAAGAAAGCATGTTCCTGTGGTTTTAAAGCTTATCGGCTCCCCCCTTAAAGCGGCTGCGGTGTTTTACAGGCTGCTATAATGAATTGCAAAGGGGGGCTGGCTTTGCAGGAGGCCTGGAGTTTTTGCAGAGGAGCTGCAGGTGACCGCAGCTACCCCATCAGGGTCAGTTCTGGTGAATACGTGGAGGGGAGACCACCAGGAAGCGTGTGGGAGTTGGAGGCCAGACTGAGACGTCAGAAAAGATCACAGCCAACCACTCCTGTATTGTTTAAAAAACAACAACAAAAAACAGAATTATTAGGCCCATCAAGTTACCAAGAGTTGAGTTTGACCTTTATTTTTATAGAAAATTGTTGATAGGCACATCCTCTACTACAGATTTTGCATACCTGAAAGTTGAAGATTGCCATCTTAAAAAAAAGAGAGAGAGCGAGAGTAAGGAAAAAGTTTAAAATGACAGATTTTGTAACAGCCAAGTATACAAAACTGTAAGTTTAAGGGCTAGCAAAATACTTGAACATAGATGGGGCAATGGTTGGATCTGTTTTACAGAGGAAGGAGACCCAGGGTCGAGTGGCAGTTCAGGTGTTGGACTGGCACAAGGGAGACCCAGGTTTTAGTTCCTCCTTAGCCGTGGAATCAGTGCTCAAGGGGGGGGTTGGGGCCAGTTGTTCCCCCCAGCCCATGGTTGTTGTGGGAAGGTTGCTCTGGAGCTCCTAGAGCAGTGTGTCTTAACCTTGACACCTTTAAGATGGGTGGACTTCATGGATGCTGGCTAGGGAATTCTGGGAGTTGAAGTCCACCCATCTTCACGTTGCCAAGGTTGAGAAACACGGCCTCAGGTAGTGCAGTAGGTACCATCAAGAAGGAAAGTTCTGCTTCACCTCTTGACTTCTAGAACGCATTCAGGGCTGGGATGTCAGCAGGAAGAATAAGAGGGCCAGAAGGAGAGATCTCTGTCCTGGGAGGATTGCAGTCTCGGCTTTACCAATGAAGTATTTCTAAGGGAAGCAGAGAGGCAATTTTGGGGAGGACCCATGCACCGGCCGTTATGTTAATGAGATGAGAATTAAGCCCTCGAACCTGTAAGCTTTCGCTGAAAGGCTGTTTCAGGAAGGACCTGATGAAGACACGCCAGGACGGCTTTCTTCGCACGGGCTTCTGATTTGCACGGGATGAATTTCGCTTGGGGGTCTCCGTCTCCCGGGTCCTGGTTTTCCGCTGCCTGAATGTCCTCAGCCTCAAGCCAAAGACTTCGCCTGCTTCTGAAGCTTCCACCAGCTCCTCTTCCCAAGGAGCTCGTGGCAGTTCCTGTGCCTTGGCCGTTGGGTAAAGGGTTTCTTTTCCTTCCCGCAGGGATGCTGGAAGACGGGAAAAAGTTTGACTCCTCCCGCGATAGGGGCAAGCCGTTCAAGTTCGTGATGGGCAAGCAGGAAGTCATCCGCGGCTGGGAAGAAGGGGTCGCCCAGGTACGGTGGGGACAGTGTGGGTGGGGCTCGGCGTTGAGGGAGGAGCCCCATCGCAGTGGTCAGTACGGGGTGGATGGGGTTGGGGGCTCGTTCCCAACTACCCAGGTCCCTCAGCAAGATGGGAGCCTCAGAGGGTCTGGGTTGGGTTGGGTTGGGTTGGGTTGGGCTCGTCCAGAGAAGACCACCCTCTGACATAAGTAGCAAGTCTCACGGCTGGGACCCCTCTCCAGGCTCCCTCTTGTGAGCAGAAGTGATGGGTTGATTCTCGTATCCTGTTTGGAGCTTCGTGGAGGATCATTTGAGTGGGGGCACTAGAGGTGTAGAGGAGCTCTGTCTCTTGGCCTTGGCTCCTAGTGGGAGTTGGTGGGAGAAGAATCTCTGACTCCTTCAAGGACCCAACGCAGGTCGCTCATCTCCAAGCACCTCCAGCTGTCCTGGGCTTGTTGTGAGAGGTCAGGAGAAGCAGCTGACTTTGCCATCCACCCAGCCATAGCCTGGGGACGGGAGGCAGTCGGGGTCCAGGGTCTCTCTCCCCCCCTCACGTGCCACCCCCTTTTGCCTTTGGACCCTGCAGTAGTAGCTTGAGCCCAGACCAGCTTCTCATCCTCTAACTCTGCCCCCTTCCTTTTGCAGATGAGCGTTGGCCAGAGAGCCAAGATGACAATCTCACCAGATTATGCTTACGGGGCTACTGGCCACCCTGGCATCATCCCACCCAATGCCACCCTAATTTTTGATGTGGAGCTCATAAAGTTGGAATGACAAAGAGGCCCCCGTCCTCCCGTTTCCCTGCTCTTGGGTAGGTGATCGTCTTGCGGGGCTCCTGGCCGGCATTCCCCAAAGTGGATGTTGGGGGCCCTGGCTGGGGGAAGAGGGCCCTTTCGGGGGGTGCGATGCGCCGGCTTTGGGATCTGTCGGCGAAACAGGGCAAGATGCGCGCACTGAGGCAGGCCTTTTGTCAAACTACCAAGAACGAAGAGAAGGGAGGCCAACGTTTGCTAGCTGCTTAGGTTGTCTGCGGCGGCCACCCCGGGGCACCACGCCCTGGTGAAATAGCCGCCCCTCCCATGCCCCCACCCGGCCCTCCGCGGGGCAGTCGCCGACGCAAGTTCTCATTTGCCTTAACAGGTTTGGCACATGGAGAAATCCAGAAATCTTTGCTTCGAGATGAATGCACATGAATCTGTATGGAGCTTTCCCAGCTACCCACTGCAGCCCTCCGCCCCGATCTGAATGTTTTGAGCCTCCCGGCTCCGCTTCCGACTCCGCTTCCTCGTTTTCCTCTGTTCTTCGACATTTTTGGGCTCTATGCTATAAACCTCAGCTATTCTTCTTTTTTTTTTTTCCCTTATTTGGTGGGGGGGAGGGGGATCGTCAAGTCCTTTAATCTTATTTTGTCGGGTTTTTTGGGGCGTAGACTTGAGTTGTGTATGACTGAGCATTTCTAGTCAGTATCAGATCGGTTCACCTTCTATAGGAACGCTTGCCGGAAGGCAGGCCTTTTTTGGTGTGTTTGCTTTTGGAATCTCTATTGTATTAAAAGTCCGTTTGCTGCTGCAAAGCCATACGAAGCAATGGGAGGAGCTCCCGGAGAGGGAGTCACCCCTCAGCCAAGCAGACATAGGAGTCGAGAAGGTCCTCTGCCCCAGGCCCTCCTGGCGTCCATCCTGGGGACGGGCGGGTCCCTCTCGCCCTGGGCCTCGGCCTCTTCCTCCCCCCGCCCCGAGGTGGCCGGGGGCTTTTCACTGGATTTTCAGCAGATTTTTAACTTCAGGCAGCCCGAGCTCCCCTCTGGGGAGACTCGAGTCCGCTGCTCGCCCTGGGTGAGGGGACGCTCCCCGCCACTCCCCCGCCATCGAGGCAGAAATGCCAGAGAGTTCTCTTCGGAAACCTGATGCTGGTCGTCGCAGCTTGCAACAGCCTCTTCTACCCCGTGCGCCATCCCTCTGCGGTCCCGTGGCCTTGTTCCCCCCCGTCGTGAGTTTTGGTAAGAGAATCGCCGCTGCCCCTTCCTCCTCCTCCTCCATCACCCCGTGAACGTATAGAGTTTTATTATTGCAATAAAAATGCTTTATGCTGGCTTTTCTCAAGCCGGGCGTGATTGCCGGTGCTTTTTCTTCCGCCCGCCGTTCTTGGCTGCTCTGGAAACGGGCCCTGGCGCCGTGGCCAGATCCTGCCCTCCCCTTGCGAAACTCTTAGCCCAGCGGAAGCAGCGCCTCCCCAGGCTGTTGCCCCTTCCAGCCGCGAGCTTGCCAGTTAAAATTCCAAGAAAAGCAGCTCGTTCACGGCTGCCGACCTTTCTTCTCGTGGGCAGCTGTGAGAGGCCGGCCGTTCTTGCAGGCTCTTTGTCCTGAGCAGCCGTGGCCCCCCGCAAGTCGAGAAGCCCCAGCTACCCTGGGTGTTGGGCCCGGATCCCCAGTGTGGTGCCTCTGGGCACCTGTGTTCCTTGCAGGTTGCCAGGGTCCTGCCCTCCTCGTCTTTCCACGTTGATAAAAGTGAACCAGACCCCCAGATCCAGCACGCTGCAAAGTGAAGCAACAGCCTCTGGCCTTTTCCTTCCTTCCCAGAACGCCTTGGAGCCCCCTGAGAGAATTGTAATGCTGGGCTGAAGGTCCCCAGAACTTGGGAATGTCCCCCCAACCCAGACGAGGACAAGGATAATAAGTGGGGGTGGGTGGGAGGTGGGAAGAGCTCTTGGGGTGGCTTCATCCCCCCCGGCGGCTGCTTTGGGAGAGTGTCCTCAAGAGGCTCTTGGAGTTGCAAGGCTGGAGCTGCGTCCGAGACTCTGGAGGACTCGAGCTTTGGATCTGCCTGGCTGAGGGATTCCTAGCCCCCTCCATCCTGTTTTTCACCTTCAGGGCTCTCGGGGGGTTTCCAGGGCCCTGGGAGCCCAGCTGAGCTTCCCTTGGGCTTTCTCTGCCAGGGAAGAGAGAGACATCGCTGGGGAGCGTGCCATCATTTTAGGCCAGGGAGGTTGCTGGTGAGCAGATGGGGGGCACACTCCCCTTTTCTTGGGAAGCCAAGCTGCGGAGGTCGACGTTTGCTGCCCTTTGCCTCTTCCCTGGACAAGCGGGCAGACCTCCGGAGAAGCCCTGCGCGATGCCCTCCGCCCTGTTTCCCAAGTCTGCACATGACTCAGAGTTCCTGCGAATCAGATTACGGCGGAAGCTGATGTTTTCCCTTCCCCCGTGCCAGCTTCCCAGTTTTTTAATTAAAAAAAAAATAAGGATGGGCCAGGCACCAGGCTGATGAAGTAACCAGGCCTTTTATGTTTTATTAACGGTTGGTGCCAAAGCCCAAACTCCACTTCCCTGCTTTGGCACGAAGAGAGCCACGTCTTCCCCTTCTTTTTAGACGTCTCCTGTGCTGGACTACAGCTCCCATTAGGCTGCGCTTAGGAATTATGGAGGGGCTCCCTTGAAAGAAAGGTGGTTGTTTGTGATGTCGAGCACTCGGGCTTTTAAAGACAGATGCTCCAGTTGGGGAACATTTGCTCCGGTTGCACAAAGGTGGCCTGCAAACCCAGCTCTGGCTGTGGCCTGGAAGAAGATCCTGGTGCCAGGGCACAGACCCGTGGGGCACGGCTGCATGCACCCCCTGTTCGTGCGTGCATCCACACGGGTAGGAAACGGAGCACAGAGCGTTTGGGGTTTTTTTTGCAATCCTGTAAGCTCCAAAAAGTGATTCCTGTTGGTTTCTCCCAGCTGGAACTCAAGTTCCCTGCAGCTCAGCTCTGCGGAGACGTCGAATCCGAGGGCAAAGCGGCGCCGTCCAGCCCAGCCCCTGCTTGGCAGCAAAAACCAATGGAACCATCACAGACGGTGGTCCAGCCTCTGCTCGAAATCACCCGGCAGAGGAAACCGCCCCCCCGGGTGGCGGTTTCCACAGTCAACCTGCTCTAACCATTAGGAAGTTTTTCCTAGTGGAATCTCGCTTCCTGTAACTTAAATCTCTTATTCTGCATTTGCAGTCATGCCGCACTGCTGACTCACACTGAGCTCACAGTCCGTTACGATCCCATGGCAAGATTCTTGCCACGAGAGTCGCCCTCTGGGGGAGACGGCTGGCATAGAAATCTAATTAATTAATTAAATGCGATTTCACACCGGGCATCCCCCACCTGTGCACTGAATTTCTTCTGCCGGTGCAGCACAGACAGCAGTCAGCTAATTTTCTGCATTCCCATGACAGCCTAGATCAGTGTTTCTCAACCTCAGCAACTTTAAGATGTGTGGACTTCAACTCCCAGAATTCCCCCCCCCCCCCCGACGGTGGGGGGGGGGGTTGTGTGTGTGGTGGGGGAAAAAAATTAATTTTTTT